GGAAGTAAGTATGGAAGGAAGGAAGGAAAGAAAGATAGAAGAAAGATAGTAGAAAGAAAGACAGAAAGAAAGAAAGAAAGAAAGAAAGAAAGAAAGAAAGGAAAGAAAGGAAAGAAAGAAAGAGAGAGAGAAAGAAAGAAAGGAAAGAGAGAAAGAAAGAAAGAGAGAGAAAGAGAGAAAGAGAAAGAAAGAGAGAGAGAGAAAGAAAGAAAGAAAGAAAGAAAGAAAGAAAGAAAAGAAAGGAAGAAAGAGAGAGAGAGAGAGAGAGAGAGAGAGAGAGAGAGAGAGAGAAAGAAAGGAAGAAAGAAAGAAAGAAAGAAAGAAAGAAAGAAAGAAAGAAAGAAAGAAGAAAGAAAGAAAGAGAGTAAGAAAGAAAAGAGAGAGAGGAAGAAAGAAAGAAAGAAAGAAAGAAAGAAAGAAAGAAAGAAAGAAAGAAAGAAAGAAAAGAAAAGAAAAGAGAGAGAGAGAGAAAGAAAGAGAGGGGGGGGAAGAAAGAAGAGAGGTAGTAAGTTATCTAACACTACAACTTAAAGAATTAGAAAGCGAACAACAAGAAAAGCCCAAAGTAAGTAGAAAGAAGGAAATAATAAAGATCAGTGAGGAAATAAATGACACAGAGTCTGAAAAAAAAGAAAAAATATAAAAGGTCAATAAAACCAAGAGCTGGTTCTTCAAAAGGATAAACAAGATTGGTAAACTTCTAGCCAGGCTTACCAGGAAACAAAGAGAGAGGACCCAAATAAACAAAATCAGAAACAAAAGAGGTGAAGTAACAACTGACCCCACAGAAATACAAAGGGTCGTAAGAAAAAAATACTATGAGCCCTACCCGGTTTGGCTCAGTGGATAGAGTGTTGGCCTGCGGACTGAAGGGCCCCAGGTTCGATTCTGGCCAAAGGCATGTACCTTGGTTGCGGGCACATCCCCAGTGGGAGGTGTGCAGGAGGCAACTGATCAATGTTTCTCTCTCATCGATGTTTCTAACTCTCTATCCCTCTACCTTCCTCTCTGTGAAAAATCAATAAAAATATTTTTTAAAAAAATACTATGAACGACTTTATTCCAACAAACGGGACAACCTGGAGGAAATGGACAGAATCCTAGAAAAGTACAACCTTCCAAAACTCAATCAGGAAGAACCAGAAAGCCTGAATAGGCCAAAAACTACTGATGAAATTGAAGCAGTAATAAAAATAATTCCCAACAAACAAAAACCCTAGTCCGAACAGTTTCACAGGAGAGTTTTACCAAATATTAAAAGAACTAACACCTATCCTCCTCAAACTATTCCAAAAATTCAAGAGTAAGGAACACTTCCAAATTCTTTCAATGAGGCTAGCATTACCTTAATTCCAAAACCAGATAAAGACATGACAAAGAAAGAGAACTACAGGCCAATATCCCTCATGAACATAGACACTAAAATCCTCAACAAAATATTAGCAAATCAGATCTAGCAATATATTAAAAAGATCATATACCATGACCAAGTGGGATTTATTCTGGGGATGCAAGGCTGGTACAATATCCACAAATCAAGAAATGTGATACAGCACATAAACAGAATGCAAGACAAAAATCATATGATCATATCAATTGATGTAGAAAAAGCACTTGACAAAATCCAACACCCTTTCTTGATAAAAACTCTTAGCAAAGTGGGAATAGAGGGATCAGATCTCAACATAATAAAAGTCATATATGACAAACTTATAGCCAACATCATATTCAATGGGCAAAAACTAAAACCATTTCCCCTAAGAACAAGAACAAGACAGGGATGCCCACTCTCACCACTCCTGTTCAACATAGTACTGGAAGTCCTAGCCATAGCAATCAGTCAAGAAGAAATAAAAGGCATCCAAATTGGAAAAGAGGAAGTAAAACTCTCATTAGTCACAGATGACATGATACTGTACATAAAAAACCCTAAAGACTCCATAAAAAACTACTAGATTTAATAAATGAATTCAGAACAAATGAAAATGTAGCAGGATACAAAATTAACACTCAGAAATCATAGCATTTTTATATACCAACTAGAGGCCCAGTGCACGAAATTCGTGCATGGGGGGGTTCCCTCAGCCCGGCCTTCACCCCCTCACAATCCGGGACCCCTCAGAGGATGTCCAACTGCTAGTTTAGGCCCAATCCCACAGATCAGGCTTAAACCAGCAGTCAGACATCCCTCTCACAATCCAGGACTGCTGGCTCCTAACCGTTCACCTGCCTGCCTGCCTGATCACCCCTAACCAGTCTCCTGCCTGCCTGATCACCCCTAACTGCTCACCTGCCTGCCTGATAGCCCCTAACCACTCTGCCTGCCTGCCTGATTGCCCCAACTGCTCATCTGACTGCCTGCCTGATCGCCCCTAACCACTCACCTGCCTGCTTGATTGCCCCTAACTGCTTGCCTGGCTGCCTGATCACCCCTAACTGCTCACCTGCCTGCCTGCCTAACTGCTCACCTGATTGCTTGATCACCCCTAACTGCTCGCCTACCTGCCTGATCACCCCTAACCGCCTCTGCCTCAGTCTCCACCGCCACGGCTTCATCTGGAATGATGTCCGGAATGACGTCTGGAAGGTTGTTCAGCTGGCCGGTCTAATTAGCATATTATGCTTTTATTATTATAGATAATGAACTCTCAGAAAGAGAAATTAAAAAGAACATCCCATTTGCCATTGCAACAAAAAATTAACACTTGGAGTGCGGGTGAATTTCCCGCCAAAATATAAGATGGCTCTGTCTTTTGGTTTGTTCCATCCACCAAAGGGTGGATTACAAACAAATATTTGGTAATACGCAGGACAATCGGCCCGAGTTTACACGTTTCCCGCACTCCACCGCAAATCTATATGAACCGAGTTAAAGACGGCTCCCGCGGAGTACGCGCAATTCACGCGAGCCGACTTAACTCGTTTCCCGCACTCCAAGTGTTAAGATACTTAGGAATAACGTTAACCAAGGAGGTAAACAACCTATACTCGGGAAACTACAAAAAGTTGAACAAAGAGATAGAGGAAGATATAAACAAGTGGAAGAATATACCATGTTCATTGATTGGAAGAATTAACATCAATATAATGTCCATCCTACCCAAAGCAATCTACAGATTTAATGCAATCCCGATTAAAATACCAATGGCGTATTTCACAGACCTAGTACAAACTCTCCAAAAATTCATATGGAACCATACAAGACCCTGAATAGCTGCAGCAATCTTTAGAAAGAAGAACAAAGTTGGAGGGATCACAATACCAGATATCAAGCTATATTACAAAGCCACTGTGCTCAAAACAGCCTGGTACTAGCACAAGAACAGGCATATAGATCACTGGAAAAGAACAGAGAACCCAGAAATCGACCCAAGCCACTAGTCTCAATTAATCTTTGACAAAGGAGGCAAGAGCATACAATGGAGTCAAAACAGTCTCTTCAATAAATGGTGTTGGGAAAATTGGACAGATACATACAAAAAAATGAAACTAGACCACCAACTTATACCATATACAAGAATAAACTCAAAATGGATAAAGGACTTAACCATAAGACGGGAAACCATAAAAATCTTAGAAGAATCCACAGGCAGAAAAATATCAGACATATGTCATAGCAATATCTTTACCGATACAGCTCCTAGGACAATGGAAACTAAGGAGAAAATAAACAAATGGGACAACATCAAAATAAAAAGCTTTTGCACAGCAAAAGAAATCATCAACAAAACAAGAAAGCCCACTGCATGGGAGAACATATTTGCCAATGTTATATCTGATAAGGGCCTAATCTCCAAAATTTATAGGGAACTAATACAACTTAACAAAAGGAAGTTAAACAATCCAATCAAAAAAATGGGCAAAGGACCTAAATTGACACTTTTCGAAAGTGGAATCACAGAAGGCCAAGAGACATATGAAAACATGCTCAAAGTCACTAATCATCCGATAGATGCAAATCTGAACGATGAGATACCATTGCACCCTGTCAGAATGGCCATCATCAATAAATCAACAAATGACAAGTGCTGGCGAGGATGCGGAGAAAAAGGAACCCTCGTGCACTGCTGGTGGGAATGCACACTGGTGCACAGCCACTGTGGAGAACAGTATTGAGTTTCCTCAAAAAATTAAAAATGGAACTCCCATTTGACCCAGTAATCCCACTTCTAGGAATATATCCCAATAAATCAGAAACACCAATCAGAAAGGACATATGCACCCCTATGTTCATAGCAGCACAATTTACAATAGCTAAGATTTGGAAACAGCCTAAGTGCCCATTAGCAGATGAGTGGATTAAGAAACTGTGGTACATCTACACAATGGAATATTATGCTGCTGTAAAAAAGAACTGTTACCATTCACCACAGCATAGATAGACATGGAGAGCCTTATGCTAAGCGAAATAAGCCAGTCAGAGGAAGAGAAATATCACATGATCTCACTCATATGTGGAATCTAATGAACCACATAAACTGATGAACAAAATAAACCCAGTGCCCTGGCTGGTTTGACTCAGTGGATAGAGCATTGACCTGTGGACTGAAGGGTCCCAGGTTTGATTCCGGTCTAAGGACACGTGCCTCGGTTGTTGGCTCGATCCCCAGTAGGGGGTATACAGGAGGCAGCCAATCAATGATTCTCTCTCATCATTGATGTTTCTATCTCTCTCTCCCTCTCCTTTCCTCTCTGAAATCAATCCTATCTAATAATAGACAAACATGGTAATTGACTGTTCCTTCGCTATGCCTCCCATTGGCTAATCAGCGTGATATGCAAATTAACTGCCAACAAAGATGGTGACTAATTTGCATATGTAGGCACCAAGCAACAGAGCAAAGCCCGCCGGCCCTGGGCAGGAGCAGCGAGTGAAGGCAGGCGTGGCGAGCGAAGATCGAAGCCCGCCACACTGGCCCTGCCCCAGGGGCCCCAGCCACGAGCAAAGAGCTAAGCCCGGCTGAAGCGAAGAGCAAAGAGCTAAGCCAGCCACGCTGGCCCCGCCCCCTGGGCCCGATCGGAAAGAGCGAAGCCTGCCGTGCCCGCCCCTCCCGGCGAAGAGCGAAGGCCTGGGTTCCGGGCGCCGGAGAAAAAACTGGTGCCAGCAGCCAGGGGAAGGGGCCCTGAGGGGCCCCAGACTTCGAGAGGGCACAGGCCGGGCTGAGGGACCCACCCAAGTGCACAAATTTTTGTGCCCTGGGCCTCTAGTAAAAATATTTTTTAAAAAAAATAGACCAGAGACACAGAAGCATGACCAGACTGTTGACCATCAGAGGGAAGGTGGGGTCAGTGGGTGGAAAGAGCTCAACCAATGAACTTGTTTGCATATATTCATAGCCCGTGGACACAGACAATGGGGTGGTGAGGGCCTTGGGCGGGGGGACGGGAGTGGGCTGCAAGAGGTTAATGGGGGAAAAAGGGAGGCCTATGTAATGCTTTCAACAATAAAGATTTTTAAAAAGAAAGAAAGAGAGATGAGATAGTAAGGTAGCAACATGAGGCCCGGAACAGCGCAGAGCACTCGCCCTGTGCTGTCTCACCTGCCCACCTCACTCCCTGCGGGCCTCTGCTGCCCCTACCAGCCTAGAGGCCAGCACTCCAGTCAGAAACCCTCCTCCCCCTCCCCGACGCATCCAAGCAGAGACACCAGCTCTGCCCAGGGTGCTGGTCACTTACTTATATTTGTAATCGACGATCTGGACTTCAAATGTGGAGACCGTTTTCAATGCATTCACGAGCTGCGAAAGCAACAGAAACACGTGAAATTTCTTTTCCTTCCCCAGTTTTACTTATATTTGAGTCCTCAATTTCTTCTTTCCCGTATAAAGTATTTTTCAGGTACTAAACAGCCTCAGGTCTATTGCTCTAACCTTCACTGAGATCCCGTGTGGGCTGCACCCCTGGACACATGACCTCTCTGAGTTCCACAGTGGCTGGTTCTGAGGCTGCTCGGACCCGTTTGGGTCAGAGTGCTCGGAGGGAGGCTGGCTGCGTGCCAGCTCTCACTACTACCATTTGCTAGTTTTTCCCTCCAGTTTCAGCCCGTAGTTCCTGGGCCCTTGCTGGTTCCAGACATTATGTTAAGGATTTTCTTCCTATCCATTTTCTCATTTCAGACAAACCATTAGTGCTTTGGACCTCATCCTCTGGAAATACAATTCTTGGCAGAAAAACATTTTCAATATTTCTACACAGAAAAACAATTGTTCTTTTAACAAACAGAAGGTAAAAAAGCAAATTAACCTACTAGTAAAATCAAAGCCAGGGTTTCTATGTCCCTGAGAATTAGGCCACCTTAACCCAATACTGTGACTCCCGGCTCTTCACAAATGCCTGCGCCTGTGGCCTATGCCCTGTGTCTGTGTCCTGTTTCCTGTGTCTGTGTCCTGTGTCCTGTGCCCCGTATCTGTGCCCTGTGTCCTATGCCCTGTGTCCTGTGCCCCGTATCTGTGTCCTGTGTCCTATGCCCTTAGCTTGTGTCCTGTGCCCTGTGTCCTATGCCCTGTGTCCTGTGCCCCGTATCTGTGTCCTGTGTCTGTCCTGTGTCCTGTGTCCTATGCCCTGAGCCTGTGTCCTGTGTCATGTGCCTGTGGCACACAGATGCACACCGACGGTTACAAAGCCTCGCTGACTATGCCCTTACATTGTGCTGGCCCTTCTCGGCTTAGGTGCAGGTCTCCATCCGCATTCACTCCTCCCCAGAGCCTGACTGCTCTGTGCGCCTGTACGTGATGCCCCGGAGGCTCAGCGCAGGACGGACTGCGCAGCCCTGCACATCCTTTCCCAGGTCTCACAAGTCCCAGATCCAAAGTTTAAGCCTGGAGTAGGCGGCTCCCCAGAACACGCGTGAACCCTTCACTGGCCCCACGGCACCGTTCCAAGGGCCCACATGCCCGGAACCTGAACTCAGGAACCTTTCAGAAGCAAAAGTCCATTTTCCAGGAAGAATGGGTGCTGACACCCCCAAAGTCCCACAGGGCCTGGGTCAGGGACTCAGACTTGAGCCTCGCCTCCCACCTCCTCGCCCAAAGATCTGCCAAAAGCCTCCATTTTCTCCACAGCCGACGTCATAGCACTGGCTTCTGTGTGGGCGACGGCCCCTCTTGGTGACCATTCGGGCGGCGGCCCCGCTCGGTGACCATTCAGGTGGTGGCCCCGCTCGGTGACCATTCGGGCGGCCGCCCCGCTCGGTGACCATTCGGGCCGCCCGCCCCGCTCGGTGACCATTCGGGCGGCCGCCCCGCTCGGTGACCATTCAGGCGGCTGCTCCACTCGGTGACCCTTTGGGCGGCGGCCCCGCTCGGTGACGGCTTGGGTGGCAGGAAGGGACTGTGGCCTGTGGCCGCCTGCCTGAGGCCCTACCCAGGAGGTGGCGCTGGAGGCTGTCTGCCCCAACGCTTGCCTCCTCCGTGCTACTTTCTAGTGTCACTTTCGGGAAAAGAAGCAGTGGGTGTCCCCTGGTTGTCTAATGCGTCACTCCTGCGGGTCAGAGCCCCGCCCTTGGGGGGCTCTGAGGGGCTCTAGGGAGCCGAGGGGGCTGCGTCCCCAGCCCTGCGGGCCTTCCTCCACAAGAGCCTCCACCCTGCACGTGTCTGCGCCAGCGTCTATGAAGGTGAGGCTCTGCACACCACCTCCAGCCGACCATGAGGGCAGGGAGGCGCCCGCAGCAGCCCTCCGTCCCCGCCCTGAGCGAGCACGTGCGTGGCCACCCCAGGTCAGCTTCCCACTTCGTGGGTGCTGGTCCTGGGTGGGCAGCAGTGTGTGTGTGTGTGTGAGTGTATGTGTGTTTCTGTGAGTGTGTGTCTGTGTGTCTCTGTGTGTGTCTAGCTGCGTCACTGTGTGTCTGTGTGTCTATATCTGTGTATCTATGACTTTGTGTGTCTGTGTGTGACTGTGTGTCTGTATGGAACTGTGTCTTTGTGTGCGACTATGTGTCTGTGTGTATCTATCTGTGTCACTGTGTGTATGTCTATGTCTGTATCTGTGTGTCTGTGACTGTCTGTGTGTGACTATCTGTGTCTTTGTGTGTGACTATGTGTCTGTGTGTGACTGTCTGTGTGTCTATATCTGTATATCTATGACTTTGTGTGTCTGTATGGGACTGTGTCTTTGTGTGTGACTATGTGTCTGTGTCTGTGTCTGTGTGTATCTATCTGTGTCACTGTGTGTATGTCTGTGTCTGTATCTGTATGTCTGTGACTATGTGTCTGTCTGTGTCTTTGTGTGTGACTATGTGTCTGTGTGTGACTGAATATGTGTGTGTGTGGCTGTGTGTTTGTATGTGTGCCTGTGTGTGACTGTGTCTGTTTGTATCTATCTGTGTCACTGTGTCTGTGTGTATGTGACTGTGTGTGTGACTGTGTCTCTGTGTCTGTGACTGTATGCATATCTGAATGTGACTATGTGTCTGTCTGTGTCTGTGCGTCTGTGACTGTAGGTGTATCTCTGTGTCTGTGTGTGTGTGCGCATGTCCCCATCCCCCGCTGAGAACCATCTCACTCAGCCTGAAGCTCTGCAGTCCTTCAGAAACGGGAGCCCCACATGAATCACCTTGCGAGTGAGATGTTAGCCCTTACCCTAAGCTACCGACAGTCTGAGGTCTTTTATTGTCACTTTGGGTAAACGGGTAATTTAATATTGTGTCACAGTGATATATGATCTTTTCGGTCAAGTATGTTTGACAGTATTCCCGGGGTCCAGGTTTTTAAAGGAGACTTTTTTTAACCTGGAAATGGCTTTGGGTTATTCCCCTATAATGCCTCAAACATTTGTTCTCTCTCCCTATAAAAGAGAAGTTTTAAACTAATTTGGCCTACTTAACATACTAAAATTACATGGGAAGATTTGTCAAATGAAATCATTCTAGTTGCTATCTTGAAACACTAAGTATTACTGTATATACGTTCAAATCTCAGTGGAGGCACGACTCAGGCAATTGAGTGTCCACAAGAAGGGGCTGTGAGGAGCCGCCAGGTGGACACCACAGCAGGCAGCACGCTTGGCCAGCACGGGCTGGGCACCGCCTCAGCCCCTGGCCCTGAACCCTGCCTGGCTCACTGCTGCCAAGCTCCACGCAGGCACCCGAGCTCCACGCAGGGACCCGAGCTCCACGCAGACGCGGGAGGACGAGAAGGTCCACAGCACCAGGTCCCCAAGGTGCACCATCCAGGCCCCGCGGAAGTGGACACCTGGTACTGGAGCTTTATAAAGGGGCCCAAACCAGGGCCAAAGGAGCACCGTCCTCTTCCCAGACAGGGTGTTTGCACTCACAGGCTGACATGAGACAGCAAGCTGCTCAGCTCGGCACCCGCCAGCATCCCTCAGGCCCAGCAAGGTGCTGGCTGGAACCGGCAAACACCCGAGGGCCAGGCCTGGAGCCCCGACTGTGAGGGCTGCCCCTTTAGGGCGGCAACAACGTGCATGTGAAACAAGAGGGTAACGACCAGGCATGGCAGGCCCTGGGCGGCCCCGAGATCCTATGACCTGGACATTTCCCACAGGAGCCCTGGGTGACAACTGCTGTGGGAAGGAGACGCGCAGACTTTCGACAGACACGTGGCTACATATTCTGTCCTAAATGCCAGACAGGGCCCTCTCCCCTAAAACCATGGCTACCACAGCTGGGGGAGCCCCCCAGGCCCTTCCTCCGGGCACTCACATCACAGCGGGAAACCTTTAAGACACGGCCTTCCGTGTGCGCCCCAATGCCCCATTCCCTGTCAGGATGAGATCCACTAACAAAATTAAATGCCCAAGTGACTTTCTCACCAGAAAAAGATCAAGCCCGCGCCCTCCAAGGCGCTGTTACAGTCCTAAGACAAGCTTGAGCCAGAAACCCCTGAACAACGTCTACAAAAGGTGACCGTGGGGTCTGGGCTGACCACGGCCAGCAAGAGCACAACGCTGAGGAGCACAGCTTCGTCCAGGCACTCACATCCACACTTGAGACAATACCCTCCGGAGAGCCCTGCGAGCCTGAGGGCCAGTGAGCGCGACCCCGTCGATCCCCGTGGAACACTAGCGGCCATGGCAGGAGCCCGGGACGGAGAGGAACGCTTTGTATGGGATTTGAGAGTCATCACACTGCAGAGGACAGACGTCTGGTGGTGCCAGATCCTTTTTCTGTGCTTACCACCTCATCTGAGGCCGTCGCTGTTTACAGTTCTAGACTTAGAAGAAGCCTTTTACCACATACCCCTGGGTCCTGAGTCCCAGGAACTGTGTGCCTTTGAATGGGACGATCCAGAGACTAACGGGAAACACCAGTGTTGCTGGATGGTGCTCCCACCAGGCGTAGCCAGGAAAGACGGGAAAGGTGCGAGACCTTCGGAATTACATGCTTCACGGAGAACGCAGTCTAAGGCAAGACTGAAAGGATGACTATGTCATGAAACCAACTTAACTCGGGATGAGGTCTCATCAGTTGCCCTAGAGCAAGCTCCAGTCGAGGCCGTGTGGAAGCTTAAGCATACTGTAAAAATATTCGACACTATAAAATGTGTGCAGTCTCCGGGTGCTGCTTTATCTGGCCTCAAGACTTGGGAAAATGCACAGTGAGGTCAGCTACAACCAAAGCAGGAGGGACCCTGTGAAGTCCCTCTAGTTAGTCCCCTTTCAAATAAAACAGGACGATGGACCCCACCTGGCCAAGAAGAGAAGACAGGCATCTCAAAAGAGGACTTCTTCCGCCCAGGATCCGGACCAGCCTGTAGAAACCTGAGTTACCTGTCTTAACTTGCTACTGAGTGAACATAAACAATGTTTTCCTTTCCTGGTTGTGATATTTGCTTGTCCAGTCCTAGTATTCAAGTATTCTAAGCATATTTCTTGTGCTTTCTTGCACTCTTCCTGACTCACTGTCCCCTCTTGGCAGGAAGTGGCTAAAGCAGTCATCCCCCTGTTCCCCAAGACTGAGGAATGAACTACAGAAAGTGGGGGTTGTAACCTGGTCCTACCCTGTTTCTCACCTGACCCAGAACCAGGACCCAGCACATGGCAGGTGCTCAGTGCATGTTTGGGGAGCAAATCTCACTGCTGTGAGTACATCTGCAGCCATGCTACTGCAGGCATGGCCTCAGGCGAGGTGAAATACAGTCTGTGAGTTGATGCAGTTGAAATGAGTTTGGGAGTCTAACAAGTGGTTTGGCGCCGTTCAGTAAAAAGCCAATAAATGAACTGGGCATAGCCATCAAACTTTTCTAAAGGCTAATAAGTTCAATCAAAACAGTTAATGCAATGTGAAAAATGAAACACACTAGTTAGAGGAAGTTAAGTCCAATGTGGTGACGTTAAAAATGCATGCCACACACTCACCTCATTTTGGTTGAGTATTTTCCGGTACTCTGTGCTCCGTGCAAGAATGGTGACTCTAATTTTTCCATCCTGTAATCAGAAGGCAAGGCAAAATAATGCTGTCTATGCCTGGACAGGTGAGTGAACACCTAAACCTCAAATGTGATTTTCACAAAGAGATGAAACGCAATAAGGACACATTTATGGAACTTTTTTTAAAAAATTTAATCCTAATTCCTTCACAGTGCTCTCAGGGAATAAAAAATGCATCTCCTTTGGCCACAGAAGACAAACCAGTTCATTACACTTCTGTGTGGATGGGTGGGTAGATTTTTTAGCAGAAGCTGTGTGGCTCAGGTGGGGATTTGGGCTGTATGGGGAAATGTGGCAAAAGGAAGAGAAAGAGAAGAAAGTACATTCGTCCACTCTCCCTAGTTTATCTTTCATAAATTGTAGACATCTGATTTCTAACACTCAGGTTCAGAAACTAGCACAGAAAACGTTGTCTTCTGAGTATTTCTTTTCTGCAAAGGTGGTATTGATTTTTTATTCAGGGTAAAAGTCAAGGCCACCCGGAACCCAAAACGCAGTAAGTCCTCACTTATCATCTTTAAGCTACACAACACATAACAAAACCAATGTTACCACAGGCTAATGAAGTTCCTAGGCATCTCATCAACGGTATAAGGAAACGGCTTTGAGCGAAGCGGCATTGCTCTAGGACCTGCTGTGGGCCCATTACCTTGGGTCCCTCCTGTGTGATGTTCAGTCTGTGTAGCACATGCTGGGAAAACGCCCGGAACAGCCCGGTACTGTGGCAGCCAGAAATCTAAAATAAAAGAATAGTTCATATTACAATGAATATTTCTGTTACTATTTCAAAGGTTCTCAAGTTATATACAAATGTTATCTTAAAATAGATCAAGAATAAGTTTTATAAATATGAATGTTCACCACAGATAACATTCTTACCAGAGGGGTGTTATAGAAGAGCCCGTATCTCATCCGGGGGAGCAGTGAAAAAACCGCTTCTTTAAAACACACCTGACAATAAAGACATTTTGAAAGGTAAGAAGAAACAATTTGTACCCTTCACACCAAAACAGCACTTATAATTACAGAAAATAAATTTTAACTAACCTCTATTTTACATTAAAATATTTTTGAATAGCAAACTATTTCATTCAAGTGAAATTTGTGTTTTTGGAAAAGCTATGAAAAAATGTTTTAAAAGCTACAGAGTTTAACAATGAGGATTCCAGTTACCAAAAAGGAAACTAAAAAGTAAGAAATCAATGGTAATAGCTACTAGGACCCATATTCAGTATATACGTGATGAGTGAGTCACTGCAATGACAAGTAATATAGACATTTCAGCGGTTTCCAGTACCCTTTTGGAGTCATAGGTTTTCAGATGAATCACGTCATAATCCGTAAATGCCTTCCACGTGTCAGAGAAGAGGTCCCCGTAGCCATAGGTGCTCTGAAAGAGGAAACAAAATAAGTCCGGGCAATAAAATCGCTCAACGTGGCTCTCTGAGAATGTAAAACACACCAGCACTGGCCTGAGTGTGAAGAAGGAACGATCCTAAGCAAGCTATGAAGTCCAGGTAAGAAAACCAGCTTCCACCGTGGGCCTCATTGATGTACTGTCATCAAAAAGAATCACCACAGCCCTGACCAGTTTGGCTCAGTGGCTAGAGCGTCGGCCTGTGGACTGAAGAGTCCCAGGTTTGATTCTGGTCAAGGGCATGTACCTTGGTCGCGGGCACATCCCCAGTAGGGGGCGTGCAGGAGGCAGCTGATGGATGTTTCTCTCTCATGGATGTTCCTAACTCTCTATCCCTCTCCCTTCCTCTCTGTAAAAACTCAATACAATGTATTAAAAAAAAAAAAAGAATCACCACAATTTCAGCCTTAGTCTCCTCAGAGTGGTTTGTTTCTCCACCCCAACCCTTAGTATTTGCATGTCTGCAATGTCAGCTGTTGTGGGCTTTTTTCCTGTGAGTTTTCTATCCACGGTACAAGTACACACAACACATGCACACACCACCGTTTGCACACACTCTGATATGCTCAGTGAACAAAACCATTTGGGTAAATATCTTTGGAAATAAATTTCAGAGCAAGAAAAATGCTTTGAAAAGTTTTAACATTAAAAACATAATGTGTGTAACTCTGACATGATCTACCCATTGACTAATGAGTAGTATGATAACATCCCATTAACATTAATAATAAGAGAAGAAATAATAGCATCTTGCACGCTCCTATGTCCCAGGCACTGTTCTAAGCATTTGATATTATTAACACACTAGAGGCCCGGTGCACAAAAATTTGTGCACTCGGAGGGGTCCCTCAGCCCGGCCTGTGCCCTCTCGCAGTCTGGGACCCCTTGGGGGATGTCCACCTGCTGGCTTAGGCCTGCTCCCCAGGGGAACGAGCCTAAGCTGACAGACATCCCTCTGGCAGCCCGGGAGCCCTCGGAGGATGTCCACTTGCCAGCAGGGACCAGGCCTAAGCTGCAGTCAGACATCCTTAGTGCTGCTGAGGAGGTGGGAAAGGCTCCCACCACCACTGCTGTGCTGGCATCCGTCAGCCTGGCTTGTGGCTGAGCAGAGCTCCCCCTGTGGGAGTGCACTGACCACCAGGGGGCAGCTCCTGCATTGAGCGTCTGCCCCCTGGTGGTCAGTGTGTGTCATAGTGGCTAGTCATTCCCAGTCGTTCTGCTGTTAGGGTCAATTTGCATATTACCCTTTTATTATATAGGATAGAGGCCTGGTGCACGGGTGGGGGCCGGCTGGTTTGCCCTGAAGGGTGTCCCGGATCAGGGTGGGAGTCCCACTGGGGTGCCTGGCCAGCCTGAGTGAGGGGCTGAGGGCCGTTTTCAGGCTCGCCACAGCGCCTTCAGAGTGGGGGTCCCCACTGGGGTGCCTGGCCAGCCTGGGTGAAGGGCTGATGGCTGTTTGCAGGCTGGTCAAGCCCCCCAGTGGGGACCCTCACCCCATGAGGGTGTGGCCAGCCTGGGTGAGGGGCTGAGGGCTGGCCACAGCCCCTTCAGGGTGGGGGTGGGGGGTCCCACTGGGGTGCCTCGCCAGCCTGGGTGAGGGGCTCAGGGCTGGCCAAGCCCCCCAGCGGGGACCCTCACCCATGGGAGTGTGGCCAGCCTGGGTGAGGGGCTGATGGCCGTTTTCAGGCTGGCCACGGCCACAGGCTGGAAGCAGGTATCTGGGATTTATTTATCTTCTATAATTGAAACTTTGTAGCCTTGAGCAGAGCTCAGGGCCGGCCAGGGCAGGCGGGAAGCTTGGCTTCCTCCATTGCCAGGGGCAACCCAAGCCTCCTGCTCGCTCCGTGGCCACCGCCACATTTGTGACGGAGTGAGGGAGTGATGGTTAATTTGCATATCACTCTTTTATTAGATAGGATTAAACCAGCCCACAAACTTAATGAGCTATGTAATATCATTACCCCCTTTTTACAGATGAGGAAACTGAGACACAATTTCCCTAAATTGTAGAGCTGGTGTTTGTAGGGCTTGGATGAGCCCAGTCTGTTTGGTTCCAGACTCCATGTTTGCAACCTGTGAACATGCAGAAACTAGTACTTTCCAGTACATTTACCAAATGCATTAGATTTTTGAAAAGTAGAAATTAATTACATGATCCATCAGCTAAAGGAGGCAGATTAATTTATTTTATTTTAAAATTGTGTAACTTAGATTGAAAATCAGCCAATAGAAATAAGAAATATCAAAGTGTCAGTTGGTTATATATTATGTTCATATCGTTTTATCTTTATAGCACTTTTTTCAGATTATGAAATTTTTATGTTGCACATTTTAGAGGTATTTCAGAATTATTGAGAACTGTTGCCTTGGCTGGTGTTCACAGTGGTTAGAGCATTGACCAGCACACCAAAGAGTTTTGGATTCAATTCCCTGTCAATGGCACGTACCTAGGTTGCAGGGAGGCAACCAATCAACATTTCAATAACTCTCTCACATCAGTGTTGCTCTCTCTCTCTCTCTGTCTCCCCCCACCCTTCCACTCTCTCTAAAAAAAAATCAAATGAAAAATATCAGGTGAGGATTAACAACCACAACAAAAATATTGAGAACTGTTAAATGTGGTGATAAAAAAATAATTCCTTCCTTCAATGTCTCTCCAATGCCAGTCTAAGAAAGGCCCTTCTCAACACCACCAAAAGTGAAATGTCCCAGTCCTGGCTCAATCCTATATAATAAAAGGCTAATATGCAAACTGACCAAACTGCTGAATGACCAGTTGCTATGATGCACACCGACCAGTAGAGAGCAGATCGTAAAGGTCAGCAAGCTCTGACCTGCAGCCTGGCCACTTCCCTGCTCCTGCCCTGGGCACCGGCGCATGGAGGCCCTCGGGACTGGCACTGAGGCAGCACGTCCACCGTCAGGGCTCCAGGTCACAGCCGGCCCGTCACAGTGCTGCTTCCTTCAAGGCCTCACCAGCAAGAGAGGGCGGCAGTGGCCCCACGCGGCCTTGCCGCTGTTCCGGTGCAGCCGTCAGCCTTCGGTGGGCCTCCATTCCGAGTGACCCAGCAGACCTGGCTGCCTGAGAATCGGCGTGAGCAGCAGGCAAAGGCCTCGCTGCCCCAGTTGGCAGAGTTGAAATGGATGCAGAGAGCAGCCAGGAGGGAGGTAACATCAGGATGTCTGCCTGCTGGACGACTCCCACCTGCCTGCCCGACAGCCCCAGCCCCTCTGCCTGACACACGTGCCAGAAAACAGCCAGTGGCTGAGCAGCACGCTCCCCTAGCAGCCCAGGGGGTGAAGCCAGCCCCGCAGGGCTCGGTGCCCATGAGGGAGACAGGGACAAGCACGCAGCAAGAGCCCAGGAAGCTCTGGGAAGGAAGGGAAGTGTCTGGAGAACTTCCATCCACGTCCCAGGTTCTGCAGGGACCGCTGGGAGGGATACAGCACTGTGGCTTCAGGCGCAGATCTGGGTTAGCGGCCACACGGGAACCCTGACTCCACCTCCATGACTGTTCTCGGAGGGCAGCCCGCTGCTCGGACCTCGGCTTCCCCTCCTGTGAAACAGGCTGCTCAGCCCTGGTCCATTGATGCTGTGAGTATGAAAGGAGATGACACCAGGTGTCATTTTTAAAAAGCCACCACCACACTGAGTAACCTCAGGGCTGCCGATGACCAGCAATCGCGGCCTAGAAGCCCTCACACAGAAAGAGAGAAAGAAAGAGACAGTGTGCCCTTTGCTCACAGAAACATTTCCAAGAAATGAAACTGGTGGCAGCAAAACTGGAGGACAAGGAAAATATAAACCCATGACGCACCCCAGCCAGAATCAGAGAACCAGGGACGCACCCCGAGTCGGACTCAGAGAACCAGGGAGGCACCCACAGCCGGACTCAGAGAACCAGGGACGCACCCACAGCCGGACTCAGAGAACCAGGGACACAGTCATGGCCGGACTCAGAGAACCAGGGATGCACCCACAGCCGGACTCAGAGAACCAGGGACGCAGTCACGGCCGGACTCAGAGAACCAGGGACGCAGTCACGGCCGGACTCAGAGACCCAGGGACACAGTCACAGCCGGACTCAGAGAACCAGGGACGCAGTCACGGCCGGACTCAGAGACCCAGGGACACAGTCACAGCCGGACTCAGAGACCCAGGGACACAGTCACAGCCGGACTCAGAGACCCAGGGACACAGTCACGGCCGGACTCAGAGACCCAGGGACACAGTCACAGCCGGACTCAGAGACCCAGGGACACAGTCACAGCCGGACTCAGAGAACCAGGGACACAGTCACAGCCGGACTCAGAGACCCAGGGACACAGTCACAGCCGGACTCAGAGAACCAGGGACACAGTCACAGCCGGACTCAGAGAACCAGGGACGCAGTCACGGCCAAGACTTAGGGAACCGAGTCCCATCAGACTTCAGGGAAACCAAGGGCCTCAGAAGTGGGGAAAATGAAAACCTGCCTACGTAGCCTGACCACGAGCTTCCTGTAAGTGAAAAAAATGTTACCAAAACGATTTCCCCTTCTGCACAAGAATTGGACCTGCAGTCCGCTGTCTCCCTCTGCTCCCTGGCGTGTGTCACCTGTGCTTCGAGCTAACACTGCTTATGATTTAATAGATGCTTTCTCTGTAAACTGTACCTGGACCGGGAAACCAGGTAATGACTCCTGGAACTGGCCGTCTCTCTCTGGGGACCCTGGAGGCATTGCCAATGCAGCTGTCCCAGGACATACAGGGGACATCTGTAGGACCCGAGTCCAGGCCTGCCCCCAGGCGTCTGCCTCCTTGCACCGGAGCTGTGCTGTGTGGGCGGCTAGAAAGACGCCTTCCAATCACAGCCAGTCGGCCTGGAGGTCAAATCCCTCTAGTATTAACTACAACAATCAAGGCTTAACTACAACAAGACTGCGCACAAAGACCACTAGGGGGTGTACCAAGAAAGCGTAAAAAATGCGGAGACAAAGAAACAGGACAAAACTATCAAGGGAGGATATTGAGTTCAGAACCACACTTTTGAGGTCTCTCAAGAGGCTTCTAGAGTCTGTCGATAAACTTGATGAGATGTACAGGAAATCTAATGAGACCCTCGATGGTGTGATAAAGGACCATCTAGAAAGTAAGCATACACTGACTGAAATAAAGAATATTATACAGACTCCCA